GCCTTTTAGGGGTCAAATTGGAATTTAAAAATCCACATAGGAGAAGCAGTGAATATAAAAATTGGATAATTTGTGAAGATAAAAAATAAGTGCAAAAACTAAATCCCGACTACAGCTAAAACACAACTATACTATTCTTTGGTCATCGCTTTTTTTGGCAATTAATTATTTTTTTGTTTGTTTCAATATTTTTACAGCGTGATTGGAGTTTTTAGTTTAGTTTTTTATTTCATAATTAATTGTCGAGTGTATTTAAACAAACACACACACGCACACTATATATATGTATGAAATGTGCTTGATTTATTAAGCTCTTTCATTTGATACCCTTCACTTATATTTTTTAGTTTCTTATTGTATGTATGTATCACATAACCTGACCATTAGACATATCGAATGATACCTCATATGTCCAGATACGATGAGTGTTTCGAATTTATAAGGTAACAGATGAACATACATACATATATACCGGCCAAAATCATAACCCTTCCGCTTTTACTTGGAAAAAAAATGTAAATAGATTTTCGGTGCGGGCCCAGTTTAGATTGGTGGGTATTATTAACGACTGCTTAACGTGCCTTCCGAAGCACGAATTAGCTCGAGATAATATATTTTTGGTCACCCATCCCGTGACCGACCCTTGTGAAAGTTACTTAACAACAACGATCGCGGGCCGCGGCGCTTATGCTCTACGCCGCCGAGATCCATTCGCCTAATTCACCGTCAAAATCTGTTCAGGTGAATCATTAACCATCTTCAAACTTCCCTCTTTTTGAACATCAAATAGAGGTCATTATTCTTTCATACAACAAACTGAGTCAGGCAGGTATTCCACAGAAACTCGAAACTTGGAAGAGCAATTTTGCAAATCGCTCGAACGAATACGCATGACTTGAAACTTGGTGAAAAGTTTATACGGATGGTGTTTTAATGCCCTCTTAGTGGGAAATTGATCGCAAACCTTCGTGTCGGAAACAACATTCGAAAGGAAATTCAGGAAATTTGTGCCTCGAGTACCGTAGTTTCGAGATATATTTTAAGCTTCGGAAGTTTAAACGTAAATTTTAATAGAACCTATTTCGTATTGGAAGCGGGTTAAACATGTTTTCCAATTGATGTTACATTCCACAATAGTTTTACGTAGAATAAAAATTTTCTAGTTCGATCGCGGCAAAATTAAGGGAGTTGGATAACCTCGTTGTATATGACATGTTTCTTCGTTCTGATGAGTTGTACTACAGTTGTCATAAGTATACCCTGTAATAGGAGATGCAATTTAGTAGCTGGATGTAATATTTAAGATGTTGATATTTATGATTAGTTTTTATATTAGTTACAAATTATCTATTTTATTTTTCCAGCCTGATGGCCTGATGGCTGGAAAAATAAAATAGATATAACAACAAAACAGGAAACAACTTTTTAGTTTTATCCTCTGATATTGATTGACACTCATACAACTAATACAGTGTCTATAAAATATATTTACATTACGCTGGATTATTATTATTTTGGCTCAAATAATAAGGATTCGTTACCAAAATTAAAGAGAATGCACAAAGAGCATCAGAAACAAATTTCCTGTAGGGTTCTCGAAATCATATTATAATGGAGTATACCATTTGCCTAGGCGATCAAGTCGTGGCAAAATCGAGGAAAAATATAATATTTTCCTTTTTCAGAAACTTTTTAATTTTCGTAGTAGTACTTTTGAATCATCTAACATTTTTTCCCTACCACTCCTTCAAGCCGTCTTTTGGCTGATAAGAAGAACGATCAAGATACTTACAAGCTCTAACAGATAAAATTAATAAAATAAAATAATTTTATATATATCAGCAACAACTCAACAACTGATATTTAAAATATCTCATTAAATTATGAGATATTTTCCATTTTACTTAACGTAACTTGCCGATCCGAAAGAGTGTCATTAAAAAACCTGAAAATGTATTATAACTTGTTACATAATTACTATTGCTATAGTCATAGTTAATTAAATTATGCAATCAGTAGTGCAAATCCACGAGCGATGAAACTGTATAAATAAAATTTATTCCAAGCATTTAAATAGGAAACATTTTATTGGTAGAATAAATAAATTATTATGTTAACTTCCAAGTTTTGTATTCTATAAATTTATTTACATTTATTGCACTCAGTAAACATAATGCCACGCTTATATGTTTCCTTTGAAGTTATATAAAAGCGCTCAAATACATATATATGATTTTTAATATCTTTTTTTATATTTTGATTAAAATTTACATTCACAATGCTATCTTGATATTTATCTTAAGAAAAATAATTAAAATGTAAAGTTTGCAACTCGTTAGTGCGGTCACCCGATTTGTGTATCACTCTATTACTCATTGGTAAGGTAAATAATAAATAAATAAAATATTTACAAAAATTAACTTGAAATCTCGATTGAATTCTAGATTTGTCTTATAGTTTACGGATTCGATCACATTTCGGGCACCTTAGACTAACGATATATTTATATATATATATATATATATATATATATATATATATATACATCTAAGTCAGTTGGTATCGTTGTTTATAGCATCTTTTCAATTACCGTAAAATGCTGCAAGTTTGCCTGAATTTTGAGATTTTTTGCCTATATCTCTAAACTTATTTATTGATATAGCGTTTAATATATTTAAGAACGAAGGTAGACTTCATGCGTAGCCAAATATGACCAAAATATTATGAAATTGTGCAAATTTTCCGAATTACAGATGCACAAAGTAGCAGATAATGTTATTGTCAAAGACATAATTTTTCCTAGAAGGATATTTTAATAAAAATGATATATTCATCGTTTCCTTTTTTTCTGTAGTACATACAAAAATGTCGTTGGAGGTAGGGTTGTACCAAAAAATACAAATAAATATTTTTTACTGAACAAAATATGTCATAAAAGTAATTAAAAAGTGATATAAACAATTTCTTGAAAAAGTTAAACAAAACACAGTATTTTAAAGAGCTTCCACTTCTGTGGACAATTCGGTCGGTCGTCCACATACTTTAATGTGTACGTTTGCTACGGTTGAATATTGTTCAACGCGGGATACTACACTGCTTCCACGCTTCATATGATGACACAACTTCGTTTGTAACTAGATTTGCAGGAAATTCTAACATTTCCTTAGTGATTGGAATATTTACGAGGTCCCGTTTTTCTTCTTTTTCTTTGTCTATTGTTCCTCATTTTTTAATGAATAACTAAAAAAGGATTATAATTTATCTACTTAAAATCAACTTTAATGTTATGAAATCATATTTATTGTCGCCAGTGAAATATAGTTGGAAAATTTAATGACATCATATTTAAAATGATTTATTTACTATATAGTTTTGCCAGGGAATTGGTTCCTATAAATTTTGGGAGATAAAAGAAAATTATTTATAACAGTGTATTACAATATCAAAATCAGGTTTTCTTTTTTCCGTGATTTAGTAACGAATAAAAAACCTAGCCAAGTGCAAGTCAGACTTGTCCACGACCCTTGAATATTTATTTAATTCTGTTTTTAATATTTGTTGTTATAGCGGCAACAGAAATACATCATCCATGAAATTTTCAACTGTCTAGTTATAAGATATAACCTGCTGGCAGACAGTAATTAATCTTAGTAGGACTAAGTAGGTATTCGATTTTGATTAAAATCATTGACAACCCTAGACCCAAGCATAGTTGTGATTCGAGTTTTCAAAACACTACCCAACAATACCTAGTGAGTATACTTGATAAAGTTATTTTTTTAAATTCAAATATTGATTAATACAATAAACAGAGTATTTACTTACACTTGGTTATTAACAGAGGTCGGAATTAGGTAGAGTTATTTATGTACTTGCATCGAAATGTTGATATTAATGTGGACCTTCCCGGGATTTCTTTATTTCTTTATTTCTTCTTTCTTTATTTTTTTCTTTCATTGATGTAAGTTTGGCAACGTCGTGCGTGCAGTAGTTTAAATTGTGTAAAAGTAAATAAATTTTTATTTAAAAATCACGGGATCTTTTCTGCTCTTTAAAATCTCGGGATTTGAGGTATATCCACTTTATTCTTTCGCTGTATAAAATCAGTGTAAGTACATGAATAACTCTACCTAATTCCGACCACTGGTTATTAAAGCACGGAAACACTTTTATTTTAGTTGAAACTGCAAAAGTTCTAAGACGTTGCAAAATTTCTCACACTCGCGCTGATCGATTTTATATTTCTGACATATAATCTACGTAGTTCACACCATCAGCCCTTTTTACGTCCCCACTGCAGGGGCTCAGGCCTTCCTTATGGATGGTTAAGGAGGATGGGCCATGACCCTCCACGCTGGCCCAATGCGGATTGGAGGGTATTAACGACTGCAAATACAGCCGGGACCAACGGCTTAACGTGCCTTCCGAAGCACGGAGTAGCTCGAGATAATAATTTTTAGGTCACCCATCCCGTGACCAACCCTTGTGAAAGTTGCTTAACGACTACGATCGCGGGCCGCGGCGCTTATCCACTACGCCACCGAGCTACCATCGGGTAGCCACCAATCCACGTGGTTACCGTAGAGAAAAATTTAAAATATGTTGCCATACTAATGTAAAATCAACAATAACCATATAAAAAATTACAACAAAAAAATACAACAATAGAAAAAAAATAACTAAATAGACGCGAGACTAAGGTCGAAATAAATAAAGCAAATTTAGTCTTGGTTGGCGAAGTTGCAGCATTTTGCGGTACATCAAATTACAGAGACGTGAAATTATATTAAAATCGTTTAAGTACTATCGGAGTTTATCAATAACAACATATCGTGACACCCGATTTTTTATTTATAGATACGATTTATAATCTATCAGTCTTTTGCAATTACTTATTTTATTTATTTATCTCGCAGTATCATTCAAGTTTACAAAAGTAATGTCTTCATGAAGTAATTGCCGCGTAACTTCATATAACATCACAATATATCTTATTTTATAAGTAAACTATATATATCTTTTCGTATATAAATCTATTAGTCATATATGTACTTATATCGTTCCAAATACAATTTTATAGATAGCGACTATCGCAAGATATCTGTTATTTATCACCACACAATAATTTGATATCCAAAAACAGTTCTAAGTCAAGCAAACTATACGAATTTCTAGTTAAATTATTATAATTCAAAGCTTCACATAATCTGCAAAAGTGGAACGATTTAGATCCAAAATATCCATGTTCGTTCACAATTTTGAAATCATTCCTCCACTGGTGGTAGGCTAATATGTAATCGTCATTTTTGCTTATCGTCATAATGTATTTCGCAAGAGATTCTGGCGAAGGGTAATCATCTACGTGTAAAAAGGAATTCGGTGGTAAAAGTTTCTCGCAATCTTCAACAGGCGGTCCCATTATAATAGGTATAGCACCTTTTGAATATGCATTATAAAAACCTTTTTCGGTCAAATACTGTCGACATTGGGAATTTTCCAGAACCAAATAGAAGAGATACTCGTTTACAACGTTACAGTCTTCTCTGATGTGTCCAGGACAACTGGAAAATTAAATAAAACAAAATATTTAATTAATATTATATTAAAATATTTTACTTAATTTGGACGTGTCTATCTTATAATTTGTGATAATATGAAGAGTTTTAACTTAAGTAACTTAATGTCTACATTACTTTTTTTATTATAATAATAATAAGTCTTCAGTAACTACATAGCGTAACAAATAATATTGACCTCCCAAATTAGGTTGCTCTGTATACATTATGGCTTAGGCAGAGTAAGAAATTAAATACAAAATAAGGAAAGAGATAAAAGACGACAAAAATACATTTACTTATCAGCACGCGACGCACATATGCTGTTAACTCAACCATGTAAGAACCAGTAGCCTAATTATTTAATTTTAAAATCTATCTTTGAACTATATTTACGAACTTCATACTACAACTATTTGATATGTGATAGCAATTGCGATCGCGATATTTTTTTTAAGATATTGAATGAATGATAACTTTTATTTGGCGTCTTGTATACCTACATATATTACGGCCACGGACCCAAGGACGATACATATACCCACTATTAAGGATTATATCGCACGAAACAATGGTTTGTTTCAGATAATATACCTACGTCATTTCAAATACATATATAAAACCTTAATGCCCAATTATTAGGTATGTGCTTGATAACTGCATCTAAACGACTTTTATCGCGTTCAAATGGACCATAACGCAACAATTTTATTGTGTAGAATTTACAAGAAAATAAATTATTAGCGTAATTTCTTCTGCCTTTTACATTTACCATTGAGGTCAGTGGTGACTTTGCTGGTCGACTAATTTTAAGTCTCGAGTTTGATTGGAAGGTCGATATATGCAAAACTTTTCTAAATTAGACAAACTGTCTGTTTGTTTCACGGGATTTGATTATTGATTAGAAAAAAATAAACTTTTATATTATTTCATTCAATATCGAAGAGGATTCAAAGTGCGACCTCCTTGTATCACGAGTGGCTTGTTAACCGGTTTTAAGATGTCGCTATCTCTGAGGTACTTGGTTCGAGTCCTAGCCGAAAAAATGAACTTTTATATATTATCTGGATCTGGATGTTATCGTACCTACCTATCTTGTTTGTATCAGTTTTCAAAAACACAAGTGCTTTAACTAATTAATTTTGGATCTGTGTCAAACACAACCTCTATTAAAGGTATACCGATACTGATAACGATTTATGGAATTATGTAACGTTAAAGTCGCAATTGCCTTCAGAACGAATGATGATTTTCCACCACCAAAAAACATAAAAAACTTAAAGTAATATTTGTGTCCAACGCTTGCCTTAGACTATTCCATAGAATTAGCGATATTGTTCAAAGAAACATTGCGATCGCAAAAGCTATCATATGGCAAATAATTGTGGCGTGAGTTTATGGATATGGATATCTTTCAAATACCAAATTGAAAAGGATTGCTATAAATTTTAAAATTAGACAATGAGGCCCCTGAGCGATTATTTCTTTTACAATAAATAGCATCATGTTTACTATAAAAAAATAATGCCGTGATATCCGCAAGTCGTGTGCACTTAATAAATAAGGTACCTATTTAATTAAAGAATGTATAAAGCTCTAAGGTCTCGATGAGTCATATTCATAGTACCTGTCCATCAAACAAACTACATTTGAGTCACGATTTATACTACTAACGAAATAATAAGGAAAAGTTTTTATGTTAATTATTGTTAGAGTGCCAGGGAAAAAGTTGTTTTTTTTTAAAGCATTCATTAAGAATAACAATCATGTTAAAATATCGGTTAAGCAAATTATAAGGAGCTTACGTTTGGCAATGGTTGGGTGACTTCATAACTTTTACTGTAAACTGTATCTGAATAAGATTTCGCTGGTTAAAGTTATTTTTTTACTATGCCAAGAAAGAAGATCGTACTTTTCACAGAAATATTGTTTTTTATATCAATAACAATATTAGATAAATCAGCGCAGCTTCCACAGACAAAGTGAGCGTGACAGATATTGTCAAATTTGACATAAACCTCAACTTTAACTACAATTATGGGCTTATTCCGTTTACCCACCCTGAAACAGCCACCCTAAGGTGGATACTCGGAAACGTGTGTTTATCTATCCACCCTAAACGGGGTGGATAACAGGAATTCGCATCATAATTTTACTTCCGATTTTCTTCCCCTCCTGTCATTTAAAAAAAACGTATAAACCCAGCCCATACTTGGTACCTAACATTAAATGATTTATTTTGTTTAATGAAAATGTGATTAGACATTTTATTGCATTTCCACACGCGTTTTCGAGTATCCACCTTAGGATGGCTGTTTCAGGGTGGATATACGGAATAAGCCCAATTTTGGTGTAACCAATGATAATATCATTGGATACAACCGAGACTAAATCAATTTGAGAAAAAAAACTCTTTATTTACTTATCGGTTTAATATCAATTTAAGTATTTATATATTAGCATACCTGTTTTTGTTGTCTTCCGAACACTGTCCATATACAGTTACATCGATGTGTTCCTGCAGTTCTTTCAAATAATTCATACGTTTAGAGACTTTGCAGTTGGACATTAGAACAGTGACAAGAACATCTCGCCGCTTGTATTTCCAATAGGGGACGTACTCGGATATCGTTTCCGATAATGTGTTTGGCATTAATGGGGCTTCTAACGGCAAAGTACGCCCATATGGAACTGGGACATCTGAATCACTTCTGCAACAGTGAAAGTATAACAATAAGTATAAGTAAGACAGAAAGTATAACAATATTATATTCCAGTTCAAATATTTTAGCACAGAGAATAAAACAGATTTCAAAAATGTAAAAGTGAATATTTTTGAAAATGGTTTTCTTTTTATTTTTATTTTTTTGTTCGTTTTAAAAGTTACTGAATCGATTTTCATGAAACTTGTTACTGTTTGCTAGAAATACGTAAACAAGCCCAGACTAACTATATGAATATTCTAACGATATTACAAAAAAATACTTCAAGATTTTTAGTTACCGTTAAAATCGATTCATTCATTCTTATGAAATTTTATATATCTAATTCCATAGATGAATATCATTATCAAAGAAAAAAGCTTCATTAAAATCCAATTGAAAACTTTATCTTTTTTTAATTTGGTTCAAAAGTAGTCTCACAATTCTTACCTAATGTTAAGCATTTATATGCTTTATAATGGCACAGTGGTTAGTGTATTCGGTCTATGATACGGTTGTAAAGCAACTTTCGCATTGAGCATGCTCCAGTCATAGAATGGGTGACTAGAAATGTATTATCTCGAGCTCCTTTGTGCTTCCAAAGGCACTAATGCAGGGCCCGCGTGGTGGGTCATGGCCCTTTCTCCCTATTCGATATCATCCATAGGGAAGTCCGCGCCTCAGTAGTGGAGACATTAATATGCTGATGATGTGTTTATATGCAATTTTATTTAACCTTAAGCTAGTAAGAGTATGTAAGACTTATCCACAAGTTCGTATTTAGTAATTAATTTTTCGTCATTGAATAAAATTGATAACTATTTGAAAATTACACTGCAATATAATCCAACATATAACAAATCTAACCTTTTATTAGCTCTTATAAACAAAGTAAAAACATGTAGTCTTGAACGAATTCGTAGAAATGCTCAATCATAATCGTCAAGGCATTTGCCCGAGTATGTTCCAATTCTCCATGTGCGAATTGTGTCAATACTACATTTACTTTTTCGTGGCTATACTTTATCTTAGAATTAAATCTGATATCAAAAATGGGGAATAAGAAAAACACAAAATACAATAAATATAAATAAGAAAGGAAAAAAAAACTAAAAAAGGACTAATAGATAAGTAAATGTCAATAATTCTAGGAATAACACATATAGAATAAGGAAAAAAAGTAGGAAACAAGATAATAAAACAATTACTGGAAACAAACAAATTCAGAATTAAACAATGTAACGAATAGTGAATAAACAAGGAAATTTAATAGATATAAGCGAAAGAAATGTAATAGATATAAATAAGGTAATAAATTAAACAATGTAATTAGAATAAATAGATATAAGAAAAAAATAAAAGAAATGTTAATTATAATAAGAAATGTAACAGAAAGAAAAATAAAAACAACAGAATAAGCAGGACTTGCTACTGAGTGGGGATAAGGCAGGAAGTTCGGCCAATAATGTAAGGCAGGGCTATAATAAAAAAAAAACTGATATCAATATTAAAAATACACTGTGCCTCGGCACAAACCGTACCGGAAGAACTGTAATGAAACGACAATTTTAAATGCTCCAAAATGTAAATAAATGAAAAAGATATGATTTTTATATTTTGTTCGTTATTAATAAATTTAAGAAAGTCAAGATCATAGTTGGTCTCTATTTATAAACCTTAAGTTGGTTTTAAATTATTCTTAAAATAGCTTTCGCCAGCGGCTTGGCCCGCGTCCCTACGGAAATGTTTAGTGGGACAAAAAGTATACTATTATCTAAGGCAGCTAATACCTTACCTGTATACCAAATTTTATCAAAATCCGTTCAGTAGTTGCGACGTTACTGGCGGACAAACATTCAAAGAAAGAAACTTTCACATTTATATAATATTAATGGGATTATTAATTATTCTGTGGTATTATTTTTATTACGTTAAAATCTATCTATATCGTAAATCTGGTTACGTTCGGAACATATATATTATTTTTTCAATTCATAGAAGGAGGTAGACAATATTTTATTGATTTCTTTAATAGATTTCAAGTTGAATGGCGGACTGATTGCTTCAGGGATTATCTACCAATCAACATTAGAACGAGGGGAAACCAAAGCAAGTAGGGTGCATAATAAAAATAAAGATTTGTTAACTAAAATATTCACATACACATAACATTTACATACATATGAACACACACCACCGTAGCCGAGTGGATCGCAGGCCAGGTTCAAGGTGTCGCCATCTCCGAGGTCCCGGGTTCGGTTCCCGGTCGAGTCAATGTAGAAATTGAACTTTTCTATATTTTCTCGTGTCTGAGTGCTGTACCTTCGTTATCTTAGACACTCCATATTAAGGCGGCTTTAGTTACTCATCTTGAAATCTGAGCAATGTATGTGATGTTGTTTAATATTTATTTATTATTAATCCACCAATACCCCACCTAGTTCCTTATATAAAATAATATTTCAATGAAACTAACCTGTACGTCATGGACCAATTGAATATATGATTCCAATCCGCAAGCTTAGGTTTGTTCTTGGCCATCGAAAATGTATGTATCGGTGATTCGTCTGACAAGAACACCCAGCGCTGATTTGGGTTCCTTATTTTGACAGATGGTAATATACCGTGTTGTATATGAACTAACACTGCATCGGCTTTGTCTATCTCACTATTGTCGCCGGTAAATAAACAGTTTTTTACGCTACACTCATCCAATGGGTCAGTTCTGGAACACAAAAAAAATCCCAATTAAAATCTATTACATAAAAATCGTTTATATTTGACTTATTAGGGATTATTAGGGATAGTGAAAACATTTTTTTGTCGCAGACATTTGAAGAACACAGGGCTAAATTTAGTACATGGCCGATGGTGAGCGCGTATGGTGCACGTCAGTCGTTTACTTTAGATTTTGTGCTCGACTGACGACGGACGTATGCGAGCGTATACAATCAAAAAGAAAAGTTAATCTATTTGTTAACTCCATAATATGTGCATACTATTAATGTAACCGACTGATAAACTTCTGACCAAGCCTTAATTTTGGCGTCTCTATGTTTGTACAACTCAATAAAAAGGTTCCACAGTGGCAAACGAATATGTATTTCAGTTGTGATACACTCAGTATCGATATTCATTTTATTTACGATGTTACATGCGCCTCCGTTCGGTCGCTGTGACGGCGTGGTATATGGTGACATAAAGCGTCAGCGGACCGGCACCTGCGCCGGACCGATGAGCTCGACCGATGATTCCCGTCAGCGGGACGTAGCTGTAGCGTAGACGCGCGTAGGTTACAGTCAGTATTGCACTGTAACCTTTTATATGTTTTGATGAATACAGCTACGTTCGATGTCAGCACTGACCGTCGGTCAATCATTAAGTACAGCCTAAGCACGTATTTTTAATATTAATAAAAGTTAACGTCTATATATCAATCAGCACGCATGCACGGGCCGCACAACACGCAACGGATTATAGGTATTTAAAATTCCTATGACGTCATCAGCATGACGCCGACATCAAAACTAATAGGGGGAGAGGCATGACATCAACAAATCTGTGCAATGCCTTGCGTGTCGTGCGGCCGGTGCGTGCGTGCTCTAGCAGTGGACCTTAAATTATGGCGATACATTGAGTTGAAATGTCGTATGACGTCGCGCCTATGTACATTTCCTACATAGTTGTGACGTAGTTAACCTCACTCCTCAATTTTAATGCCTATTATCTAAGCCATTGTGACATTGAAGCAAAAAAAAAATACGTATCTCATATATTTTTCTATGATCTGACTGACGGACTAAATAGAATTTCTTTTTAGCCAGGCCTTGACTTGTTTAGTAAAAAGTGAAAAATATGACCAAATATATTTTCTAAGGTTTAAATTCTACACAAATTCTACGTTTGTGAAGTTAGAGCTTTCTGAAGATGTGTAGATTTAAAAACTGGCTCTACACAATTCGACAATCTTTGTTATATTTATTGGTTTAATGGATTGAATTTAACCTAAAATAAAATGTCATTTTATTCCCTACCCAAATGTTTTAATTGATTGAGCAAGAGCAAGGTTTGACGAAGAAGCGATGCACTAATGGCCAGACTATTAAAATGCAGAAAGAAAGTTGGTTATTTGTAGAAAATGGGAAACCTATAACAATATTTATACGAAACGCTCAGTGCACGAATCTGACTCTCTTTTAGATAGTTTTATTGTATTAATATTCATTACGTATACGTCACTCATTGCCTCAAATAACAACATAAAGCGGACAACGTAATCGTACTCCTTCGATTATAAATGACAAATGCTTTCCAGATTTGCATAGAATTTTACATCCAACGCATACCTTTACAATTCTTATCTTTCCTAATAAAATGATCGTAAAAAAATCATTGTATTTAACACTTATTAGTTATTCCCTTGTGTAAATAACTACCATAATAACGTCATTGAAAATTAACAATGTCTGCAATGTTCGATTTCTAAAAATCTATACTTATATTACAGCTAAATTCGATAAAGAATGTTTACTAACAAAGCGTTGCTTAGCAACCAATGACAGGCAGATATTATTAACCTTTCTAAACTAAACAACATTATATTTTTTATTGCGATTTCGAGGTACTACTTTATGAAATATCCAAAACAATTTAGATGGAATGCAGCAATTGAATTATTTATTATATTAGTGTTTTGAAAATTATCTAGTTTATTGTGCAATGTCTTAACATTACAAGGAACATGTTCTTAAGTTCCGTTCCTTTATTGCAATTGATTGATCACTTTATACGAAATGTGATGTTCTTTAAATATTTATGTCATTTTAAAATGTAAACACAGAAACTTCATAAACTTACGATTTATAATTAATGCAATCAATTCAAAAAGCTATAAATGTCGTGGGCATTACGTGAAATGCACAAAATCTTTTGTTTTAAATAGTGGAAAATAACACCGAATTTTCATACGGGGTCGGTTTCTATTATGCGATCGATTTCAAATGTAGTGAATCGAAGAGAACATGTTTTAAAATAATTGATAACTTTATTTGGAAAGTTAACTTAAAACTGCAAACATATTTCTAATACCAGAATTCTATTCTACTCTGTTTACATTAATTCTTCATCGAATTTAGCTGGAGTTATAGTTAAGATAAATGGGAAAGTTTATTTCCATGGGTATATGAAGGGCTAGCTAAATTTCACATAGATTGGCAATTTATTTTTATAACGTAAATTGCAATCTCTTTATTAAGAGATTGATTTTTACACGAAATATAACATAGATTTTATTTTATTTATACATTATTCTGTATTTATAGATCTAATACGATGATGTCACATCACAACCAATGTAAATATAAAACGAATTTGACCGCATATTTATATACATGACACTATATTCTCGACAAAAGCTTTGTCAGTATCGGAAACGGAAAAACCTCTGGCATTATTTTTTTTCTCTCATAATATAATGGGTGAAGGACAATGGGAGCCAGATTTTGTTTCCCAAACATTTAAGTAATTGAATCACGTCATTATACAACATCTCTTTCTACCATCCATCCTAAACATAACAACTTCTCTTTCGATACAAAACGGCTTTTCAAAAGGTTTTTTTTTTTATACTATTTACTTCGGCTCCCATTTCATTTCCGCACTGTGAAGAAATTCTGCACATGCGAATACATATTTGGCCTTTTTGCTATTCAACTTTTTACTTTGAGGAAGTAACATTCTAAAATGATTACTTATCGGTCTCTACATGATGTATATTATATAAAGGATGTCATTTTGTTTCGCTGACAGAATTTTCATAGAACTTTGTTTCACAGATTTTTTTTTTTTTTTTGCATAAGTGATTTTATTTTAATTACTATATTTATATTGAATTAAAATATTTCGAAATGCTCATTAAAAATATTTTTCTTATTTGTAGTTGTTTATTAAGCGGAAAAATCACTAATGGATTATAGTATTTTGTGGCCTATCACCACACATCACCACCAGCCCTTTTACGTCCCCACTGCAGGGGCTCAGGCCTTCCTTATGGATGGTTAAGGAGGATATTTTGTGGCCTACATCCTTTTAATTGACAAAAACTAGATAAAAATAATATATTTAAACGATAAAAGGTTATCTGATAAAATTATTAGATAAGCGTTTTATTTATCTAATGTCTGTATCTGTATCTACGGAGTATTTGATAGTATCCATATCACCGAGTAGTTTAATGTCATATTGATTGAACTAGAAAACTAGATGTGCATTTGAATGGTGCCATTCAATCAAAGGGTTAGCCGCCCAATTGGACTGCTGAATTAACCAGTTGGCTGCGATATGCGTATGCAAAAAGTAAATTAATAATTTTAATTAACAGTAACAAGCAAATCGATAAATATAAACTATTAATATAAAAATAAATAAATTTTATTACAATTAATGATGTAGATTAATTAAATAAATACCAAATTATGTAACACTTTATTTTTTTTACCAACTAGTTTCTATCCCATATATGACTACATAGAATTTTCATAATCGGAACAAATTTTTTTGAAGATTATCCCCTACAAACAAAGTTAGAAATTTATCTATTTATAATATTAGAATAGGTCACCGGAATTTCGAACACCGATGATCACTGTTTCATTTCTTCATTACGTAACAAACTATAAATTTGTAATCAATATAATTACGAGCAAGATTTTTTCTATTTTTGGAGATAGGTGATCGTTCTAGTTTACATCTTCTTTATAGTTCTAGTTTACATCTTTGGCCTACGTGAGTACATATGTTTCACCGATAAAAACTTTGTCTATGTTACACTATCTACTAGTTTTTTAATATTCTTTGATCCTGGCTTCCCCATACATCATGGGCGGGTGCTATAAGTTATAACTTACGCGTGCGAAATTGCTTATAATAATACTGGAATACATATGATTATTAGGTATATAAGCAATAAGTAGCAATAATTGGGTATAAAGGCACTAGTGAATCAAATATCTAAACACTATGACTTAATGACTCTAGTAGATTAGCCTACTTCGATAAGGATTTGGAGAAAATTTTGTACCATAAGTACTTGATCGCATCTCTCACTCACAGAATGCCTAATTTTACTTATTTCTATATTAATATCACAAAAACACTAATATTATAGAGATGAAACATATGTTACTTTGTTTCGTAAGTGGGTAATCTTCGGAAATACTAATCCGATCATAAAAATTGTTTCACTTGCACGTTGCTACACGATAAGCGGGTAACATAGGCTATAATTTACGCGGGTAAAGTCGGGATAACTGTTAGTTGGTATAATAAAAATATAAAGTGTTAATTTTTGTATTTATTCTCGGGAAGACAGCTAGTCTTTAAATAAAGAGATATACCAGATGGATTTTTCTTACCGTCCATGCTCAAAACTTTTCACATGTCTGTTATTTAACCAGCCGTAATATTTCCAAACTAAAACGACGAAGGTCTTATTTCTTGGTGCTGGCAGCGGCGTATTTTTAAACAGTATTGTTCCTAAATTTGAGGTTACCCAGTTCTGAAATACAATAGGCAATAAACTAATATTAAATACTTATGTGGTGGTAATTTTTAAATATTTATAATACCTACGTATTTTCAGTTACTATATCGTATATTAAGGTATATCGTCTCCTAAGAGTGTAAGTGCTCGTAGATTGTAGGTATCTAATATATTTCTGATGATATCACGAATAATATGTAATTATTTTTTGTATGAGTAATCATACTTCATTAGATTACGTCATTATAATAAGTAACTAAAGCGCCTTAGTTTAAACCCCTGCCAGAACCTGATTGGTGAAAATGGAGTCATCTCAAGAACCTCCGGTTCATACTTTTAACAGAGTCCTATAATCAGAAGTAGGTATTTACAAACTTTAAAACTTTTTTTAATATCAGCGGAATTTATTAATTTAAAGGGGGTCCTATAAAATTTTCAGACGCTATATTAGTTCACTAGTTTTTTGTAAACTTGAACAATTAGTAAATTCACGTAACTTTTTCATTAAAAATGAGAATAAAATCGACAAATAGCGAGCCAACTTTCGCCCAAATAGAAGAAAGTTTCTTGAATCTATTAACCACCTACTTTATTATTAAGTATTATTTTTCATTTCTTTTAAACTGCTAAATATCTCATAGCAGTTATATTCCCATTGAATCAATATTTAGGTATAATACCGGCTTTATTAGGAGCAATGAACATTTATACGAATAAAGTTAACAAATAATTTTATTCATACAATTCAAAAAGGAAATATAATAACAAATCTATAGTTCTTGCAATCATATCCCTAATTTATTACAGATTACCTTACCTTACGCTTTTCATAATAACTTTGCACTGATATATTATGTTTCAGAAAACGTTGATTATCAAAAAACTGCTTCAACTCTTCACCACTTAAATGTTCAGAGTTGTAACTCCCAATCAAATTTATAATACTGTTAAAGCCCCTATATTCATACACTGTTACCCCAACTAAACATATAAAAGCTATAATTATAATTTTCCGATTATATCTTCTATTGTACACAAAAAACATGATCAACACTAATGCGTTATCGTAAAAAGATTCTATTCACTTTAATTAACAATTATTCTTATCACTGTTAGTGTACCATCGCGATCGCAGTGTACATAGTACTGAAGTCGTTAAATCGTGAATTCGAAGTGCTCATGTACCACGATAACAGAAACAACATTGTTCATAAAGCACGTTTCGTAAACATAAATCTATATAAAATAATTGTATCATCTTTACGTGCCCGTACATGTATTATATAGAGAATACATGAATGAGTGACGTATATGAAATATTCTTTACTATAGATACATCGTTAATTAGTTTGCATAGCTCATCTTAGAATCAGTATAATCGGAGGCCTTGTCACTTAGATGCGATGTCTTCCATGTAATCGTTAGAGGACAAACTATTTTATGGTGGGTAGTCTATGGTGTCTAAAAGAAGTATTATTACTTAAAATATGGAACTAATATAATACTTACACTGAAATCAATTAATAATATCATCATCATCATCAGCCCTTTTACGTCCCCTCTGCAGGGGCTCAGGCCTTCCTTATGGATGGTTAAGGAGGACGGGCCATGACCCTCCACGCTGGCCCAATGCGGATTGGATTAATAATATAAACATAGATTATTATTACTTATACCTCCGTAGCAGCGTGGTTCGCACGCCGGTTTCAAAGTGTCGCCATCTCTGAGTTCCCAGGTTCGATTCCCGGTTGGGTCAATGTAGAAAATGATCATTTTTTTATATTGTCTCGGGTCTGGGTGTTGTGGTACCTTCGTTGTCTCAAATACTCCATAATACGGGGGCTTTAGCTACTCATCTTGGAGTCTGATCAATGTATGTGTTGTTGTTATATATTTATTATTATTATTATATTTCAAAAACTGTGGTAATATTCAAAGATTCCATGAAAAAAAGGAGATGGTATTGAAAAAAATTGCAATGAAGACACTACACAGGTCTTTTGGATAGATTTTACGACTACTATATTTCATTTTAACTATATAAAAAATAGGTTTTGATTTAATCTGAAGTATACAAAACATTTTTTCATAATCGCATTTGTTTCCTTTCGTTCCCATACAAATACACATCGAGAGTCAAGACGCGCTCGCTTGATTTTAATCAAATAAAACCTACGTTTTAATCACAGAAAAAAAAAACAAATGCATTTATAAAAAATTGTGATCAAAAGAACATATAAAAATATTTTTTTATAAAGTATGAAATATATTCCATAGTCGTAAGATATATCCAAAAAAAAAACTCTATTTACAGTAATCTTTACAATGTTTTTCTTGTTCTTTTTTTTATCGAGCCAATTATTGAAATTTATGTTTATGTTTTTAGCAAGCAATCGATCATATGTTTGATTTTCCTATTATGGATCCTATGTTTATTTTTATTTGGCAAATATTAGCATTGTCTTAGAATAAAATTGATTTAAAATGAGGTACAACCTCGCATCAACCCGTAACTAATGATTATAATGTTAGATATATTATTTTTTTTATCTTACATAACAATCTACTACTAGAACTCTGAATCTATCTCGAAATATCGTATATCCTCAGCAAAATAGCGAAACAAATAGTAACAGCACGTGGTATGTAAATTAATATAGGTATTCAACGATTATATCTCTTTATGTTTAGAATATTATAAGGCAGCCATGACAACGAAAAGTAGGTACATGTTCTGTTTCTGCTATTTTAACATAACAATATAAAGTCAGTTCTTTGAAACAGAGAACAATTAATTGCATTCTATACAACAAAATTCTAATTCAACTTTTATAATATTTTTAGTCATAGGCTAACTCTAAATTGTTTAACGTTTCCCAAATCTAAATTGTCTAAATATTTTTAAACTAGAAACATCTTAAACTTTAACACTTAATTATATTTTCACATTTTTTTATTTATAGAATTACGAATTATTCATTTTTAGAATGTTTCTTAGAAATCGTACGTAAGTAGGTAAATATGCTAACAATGCAATAAAAGTAGATTATAGTAAAAAGTTGTTCATTATTCTTTATTTGTACAACTTTATCGAGTTTCATGGTGATTTTTTTCAGATAAAGTAATTAAACCATTGATGATGAAAATTTCTAATTTTTTGACTTCATTTTTTTTAAGAGATCGAGGTGTAATTATGGAGATTAAAGATTTTGGGTATTTTTTCTATATAAAAACCATAAACACTGTTGCCAACTGTGCAAACTAAATACACCCACTGGCAGCATGACGGCAAGTTTAACATTGAAGCGCCAATTCGTATAGAATTAACCTAAGAGCTTGATGGACATCAGTCGAGGACCCCGAGTATACATGGGTCACATTAAAAGTAAATGAAACGGGTCATTAATACAATTATTTAAAATTACTACATTTCAAAATAGAACTCTTTAACCGTCAAATACAATTTGTTTCATCTGATTATCAATTGTTTTCACATTGTAGCGTCATTTTAAAAATTTGATGGTTACAATATAATAGGTCTGACTCCAGAAAACTTTATTGCATTATTTTTTACGGAAAGCGGATGATTGCTTCTTTTTAAGGTCCCGTATCCAAAGGGTAAAACTGGAACCATATTACTAAGACTTTGCTGTCTGTATATCTGTCACCAGACTGTATATTATTACCGTGAAACAAGTGTTTGTGTGATATAAGTGTTTCTGTTGCCTCGTCAATAACAATTACTAAAAACCAGAAAAAATAATTAAGAGGGGGTTGTATGGGTTGCATATTTGTTGTATGGGGATACAACAAATATGATTTTTTTGCTCGTGTCCGGAACCCTATGTGCGCGAGTCCAACTCGCACTTGATCGCTAAACTGGAATCCTGGCTGCTGTTGCTTTATGAAATTGTTGTATCGTTAATAGTGCAGAACACGACTAATTGTTTACCGAAAATAATTGACAAACACTGTGAAAATAACTTTAAATGCCGTATCAGTTTGCACCATGATAACACAAGTTCCCACAAAGCCAAACAAATAAATGTGTTTATAGAGGCGAAACACCTACAACTTGAGTACATTCTACAAACTCATTCATCGGAACTACATAGTTCCGATCTGTCACAGTGTGACTTTTTCTGTCTCTAAAAATCGGGAACCAACTATGCGATCAACGGTTTTTATCACCAGAATAGGCTGTTGACGAGTAAGTATGAAAAACATGTAGGTATCTGACGTCGTTTTTTCTAAACAAACTACATAATCCATAGAGGTCTAGGAATTTTATTTATTTATTTAAGGACAGCTTACAAGACAATACACTGATAATAGTATTATTACACTCATAAAATAGCATGCAAATAAGTGTTGCCTCACTTACAAGCTGCCACGGCATGTACAGTTAGTTACACAGGAGGAAATATCTGACAGAAATTTAATAAGATTACATAAGATTTCACTTACTTACCATTCTATTTTTATGATAACAATTACTTATCCGTTATAGCAGCAATCATATTAGATTTAAACAAGTTAAATTTTGAAAAAATATTCAAATCGTTATTACTTTTCGCAGTGACATGATATTTTTCATTATAATATTTAACAAAAGTTCTGAAAACAATAACAACTAGGTAAGTAAATTTTGTTGTTAATAGTTGTTTGTTGAACTTAAAGCAACAAAACTATATCAAGTCACAATCATATTTTTATATACGTGTGGTGGTATTTTTATAAAAACGATAATTATAATAAAAAATCAGTTTATTATCTACTAGCATTCTACCAGCGACTTCGCCCGCGTGGTCTTGTATTATACATAAAAACCTTTCTTTTGAAAACAACCGCATCAAAATCCGTTGCGTAGTTTTAAAGATTTAAGCATACATAGGGATATAGGGACAGAGAAAGCGACTTTGTTTTATACTATATAGTGATATACTTACCAGATATGTATACTAGGTACAAATATACTAGGTATTCGTACAAAATAACATGACTTCTGGCTAGAATGACGTTTGTGCAAAGTATAACGTGCAAATAAGTTTTCCTTTTGAAATTAAGAATTTAAAAAACTATGATCAGTTATTAAATCTTTTATTCATAAAAAAATCATCTTAATAAAA